TCACTCACGGATTTTTCCATTTGCATTCTGGGTAAAAATCTATCTAAAAGCGCGAATGTGTCGTCGTCCCCCCTCTCCCCCCTCGACAGTTTCAAAGACAGAACAGCTAAGGTTTCTGTCTCCAAAAACTAAGACCGGCCCCCGACCAGAGAAAGGAACAGCTATGTGGCCCTCGCAGGAAAAAGTTTGGGGACCCCTGTTTTAGACTGAAATCTAGAAAATGTTGCTTTTATTCACAATCGGTTTTTAGTAGCCATTTATATCTACCAAGTTGCTTAAAGTCTCAGACTTTCACTTAACCTTGCATTTCAGACAAGTTAACAATGCAAGTCTTTTATATTTTAAATTAAATGGTCAATAATTTCATCCGCTACTCAATTTTGTAGTAAAATTTCTCTTATAATTTTTCATTCCAATATGAAAAATCCCACAAAAACAATCGATTTGTAGATTCTTTATAGAATTAAACTCTAAATTAAATATTTCAGTTAAATTCAACAAAATATTTCTACACTGCAATATCAATTGTTTTCAACACTTAGATGTTTAATTTAGTTCCAAACTAGTAAATAAAACATTTGAAAATCATTATTAGCTTTGAATCTGTAATCATTTTTAGTTGGTGTAATTTAGCCGTATCACGCTATCAGTTTTTTTTCTTAGCTTTTAGTCATTACAGTTTTTTCCTTCACAGTTTCCCAACCTATGGCTCGTGGGCCCTAAGAGGATCACTGGTCCTTCTGTTAAGGACTGAGTTAACGGGTACAAAATGAACGATTTTATCTAACATTGTACCTAAAAACCTTTAAAATGTTCTTTTCTGGGTAGATCATTCCTATATGCAAACAGGATTAGTGAGCACATTCTCCATCACAGCAGTGTGTGTATAACTTCTCGTATTTCTCCTGTCTCAATTCTCGCTTCCCCCTCCTGCTGCTGGCGTTGCTGCAGCTGGTCCTCCCTCCGTCTCTCCTCCAGCTCCCTGTCAGTCCAACTAGCTCTGGTGTTGGATTATTTATAAGTTGTCCAGACCGTCCCTTAGTGAATGTCCAGGTTGTCCACCAATGAAATAAGTGAAAAACAGTTCAGTTTGCTTTCTTTTTCTTTAAAACACATCATTTTCCTCCTCCACGCTGATGCCAAAGAGTAAACCAGTGTGGGGGTTGTGAAACTTCAGTTGCAGTCAAACAGATATAGTTCCAGTCCAAACGTCCAGCAGGACTCCATACAGTAGTCTGCTGCATGGCAGTTCCCAGATGTCCAGGAATCAGGATCAGCGGACACTTTAGTGCCTTCAGTACCCAGGTGGCAGAAATTGACCCGTCCTTTTTTGCTTCTTTATCAACCATCATTGGCTGGTGATGAAGGAGTGACGTCATCTGATCGGCAGGACAGGTCTGCGTTGAGGTCGGAGGTCAGACGCACCGCAGCTCAGACAGGAAAAGGAAAGAAGCAAATAAGAGTCAATTAGGGTTTGTTCATCTGTCGTTTTACAAACATTTTCCATATAACTTCTTTCATCTTAATAGTTTTTAGCCACTTATTACCCAACATTTTAAGAAATCATAAATCCTTTCCTTATTCAAACACATAAACATGAAACATGTTAGAGCCTGAAGTCTCTTTTATCCTGTACAATATTAAATTTTAAAGCGTAAAATGTAAGTTTATGTTAACTCCATCTGAGTCACGTCTCACCAGAGAACAATGGATTTCTCTAAATTTGTCGATCTTAGTGCTGCAGACTGTGAGGTCAGCTGTCACCCCTCCTCTCAAAGCCTAAGAGAGAAACGAGGCTGGATAATGTCCAGGTCAGTACCTTACTCTGACCTCTGACCCCTCCAGTTATACAGCCAAAGGATCATTTCTCCAAGTTGGTGTTATAATCTGATTACGACACAATACATTACACATTGTTCTGAGAATTTATTTAATTTTATCTTTCAGCTTCTCCTCCTTCAGGAAAGTCATAATTCCACTTTTAGCATACAAAGAAGTTGTTCCCATGTTTTTTATTTCAGTGAGACGTCTCTCAACTGGTTTTTCTTTGAAAGTGTAGGAATGCTAAAGAACAAAAAACACCAGTATTTCCTAAAACTAATTTCTGACTTGTGAGGTTTAAACCTAATTTTTAGTAACAAAAATTATGCACTGGTTTTGTACAGGAATTCAATTTCTTTTGTTTATTTATTTATTTTTACTTAATGTGTAACAAGATAAACATGTGTCCACCATTTCATCAATTTAGTCTGGTGGTTTGTCTTTTTGGGGTGTGGTAGAGCATGATCATACTGAGGATTACTCCCGTTTGTGGTCTCATCACTCCATCACCCCTCCTGTTGCCCCGTGCAGCATTCTTTGAAGGGCAGTTTCTTGCCCAGTGGCCAGAATTGCCACAAGTCCAGCAGCCATTTAAATGGCGTGGATTTTGTGGGGTGTCATTTTGGGGTCTTCACCTATTGTGACCTCCTGCGTCTGCCGCGTCCTCTTTCGCCATTTTTTATTACACGGTTCTCCAAAGTTTTTACTACAATTAGCTGTTGTTGCTCAACACCCCCCCCCCACTTCTCTCTCTCTCTCTACTTCCCTTTGTCAGAGGAGGAAGATGTGCTACCAGCTCTCCGTCTAACGGGTGAATAGAGTTTCCTAAATCTGCCGGGATTTACCCTGTCCAGAACTGAAGTAAACTCTGTTTAAGCTGGCGTCGAGAAAGACTAGCCTGGTTTCTGACGACCTTCATCCAGATGTCCCACCCTTTCTCACCCTGTGAATTAGCCAGATTGAGCAGCCCACAACCAACTAGTTTCACAGAGCACACCTGTTAACGGTCGCTCCTTCTCTATATTACAACTTGCACTTGTTATTGAACCAGGTAGGTTTTAGTGACTCGGGCGAGTCCCAAGGGTGTTGTTTTAGTTTTGGCTAAAAGCAACCTATAAAACATTTTCCACTTTCTCCTCCCAGAATCAAACTTCATAGCTATTTTACAACCATCAAAGAACTTTAAGGTGTGTGTGATATGTGCTAATATATTAGCGTGTTTCTATCTTCATATTTAGCGGATTCCTCCAACTGAGAGAATCTGTCTGAATATAACAGCGCCCCCTGGTGGACATCGTATGGCTCTACAAGTACAAAACAAAATCTGGTGAAAAGATTCATTCCTGTTGACGTGGTTAGCATGCTAATTATTAAAATATGATAGTGCTTAAATTATGCACTTGAATGTATCTTATTCAATGTATGAATAAAATTAATGTAACGGTGTCTGATTAATTAAAGATAATTAAAAACTGATTTTGTAATGGAAACAAAAACAGAAAACTCACAATAACTATAGTAATGCCTGATGTCACCAAACATATTATTATACTTTAACACAGTTTCCTTAAATATGCAGGACAGAGGTGATAAACTTACCAGAACGGAGCTGGGGAAATGATAAGGTCACATTTTAATCAGATTAGTTTTGATATGTGTTTTTAAAAAATCAGATTTGTTTTTATCTTTGTATCTAAACACACGAGGTAAAGATATTTAGAAACATTCCATAAGAGCTGACACATTTTATTATTTAATTAAATCGTTTAAATTTTAAGTTTAATATTTAAATGACCTTTTAGACTTCAAATATATTATTACATCATTTCTTCATACCAGAATCAGTACTTGAACACAAAAGGAACCAAATCATAGCTTTTTTCAACAAAATGCACTTAGATAAACAGATATTCAGTCATTATGTCTGAAACAACTGTTACGGCCCAAGGCCTTTTCCTTTGGGTCTCTAACATCCATGTTTTGGACTCTTAATTGGTGCTGATTGGAAGTGGAGGCAGCTGGCCAGAGTCTCCAGATGACATCAGATCCACCTTAAGATGCACCACTTTCTCTGACTAAGCAGCTCATTCTTCCTCTCCCCCAACCAGTTATGATTTTTGTTAAATTCCCTTTTAAGTTATCTCTTGTGTTGCTTCCCTTTCATTTGTTATGGTTTAAGAGCCAGACCATAACAAATTGGGGGCTCGTTCAAATTTATGCTGGGTTTGTTGAGTTAGTTAATTAGTAAACATTGTTAATTTAACTGGGAAGCTAGTGTGGGAATCTTGAGTTTAGTTTTGGGGAAATGTTTTTAGTTTCTTTTTTCTCTGGTTTGGGGTAAGTTGATTGCTTTCGTCTCATCTGATGAGCTCACTGGTAAGTCTTGATCGTTTGATTTGTGCAATTCATTACGTCTGATCTGAACTGATTCCCCTGTAGGCCTCAGCGTGTCTCCCCTTTGGGTTTAATGTGCTCAGACACAGTAGTGTGAGATCATATGGTTGGAGCAGTCGTCTCGGGGGCACAGCCATAGTGTTGGGGGGGTTGCCGATTTTCCGGTCGCCTTTTCCACTCTATTGGTATTAAGTGCGTAAATACCCACCGTCTCTGAAGACTAGGGTTGAGCTAGTTAGTTTCTGATGGGCAGTTAGAGGGGAGGTTCGGGTTGGTTGTTTTGTGTTGCACAGATTGTCAGCAATTAAACTTTTGAAACACTGTTTTGTGATTAAGACTTTAGTCATGCCTGTGGAAGACTTTAATAAATCCCCATCAGCAGAAGTTTTGGAGCAATGTTGTAGAGAACAATTGGTAAAAATTGCTGAACACTATAAAATAAGTGTTGGTGACAAAAGGTTGAAAGACAATGTCAAAGCAATTTTAAGGGAGAACTTAATTGAGATGGGTGTTTTGTCTTCACCTTCCAGACCTGAAGATTTGGTTGCTCAGGTGGTAAAGCCTGACTTTTTGGATTTTGAACAACAAAAAGAGATGTTAAGGTTGAGAATGCAACTGGAAAAGGAAAAGGAGTTGGCTTTAGAGAGGTTACGACAGCAGGCAGATTTGGATAAGGCTCTTGCTTTGGAAAAGATGAGACAGGAAACTGAATTGGCAAGAATAAATTTGGAAAGTGAAAAATTAAATCTGGTGAAAGATGGCAAATTGTCTGTGGAATCTTGTGTTGGGGACTCAAAATGCAAACCCTCTGATATTTTAAATGACTTGCGTTTGGTGCCCAAGTTCAGTGAAAAGGATATTGACACTTTTTTCACTTTGTTTGAAAGGGTTGCAGACACAAGAGATTGGTCTGATTCAGACCGCATAATTTTGCTTCAGTGTGTTTTGGTTGGTCGTGCTCAGGAAGCTTTCTCTATGTTAAGCTTGAATGATGGCCAAGATTATGCTAAGGTTTCAGCGCTTGATGAATAAAGTTGTTGGGTGTTTAGAAGGCTGTTCCTTGTATTTGGATGACGTTGTCTATTCTGACAGTTGGTCATCTCACATGGAACGACTCACCGCTTTGTTTGGCCGTTTGCGGGATGCGTATTTGACAGTGAATCTGGCCAAATGTAACTTTGCTCGAGCAACTGTTATCTTGGTCATCGAGTGGGTCAAGGTAAGGTATGTCCAGTTAGTGCAAAGGTAGAAAGAAGCGATTGAAAAGTATCCACCACCGACGACTAAAAAGGAACTCATGAAGTTTTTGGGTTTAGTGGGATACTACAGAGCTTTCTGCCGAAACTTTTCAACTGTGGTTGCATGCGTTTTCCCACGTGTCTGAATTCGTAATGACAGATTGGGCATTCTGTGGATGTTCTCGGTGGCAACATTGATCCAATTCTTTTTCATGAATCTGTCAATGACAAATAAAATAAATTTTTAATTATCAGACATACCGTAAGTATTTGTTAAGCATAACAGTTGTGTCACATCCGGCCGTGTTGTGACTTTTAAAGCAGGTTTCTGATCATTTTTAATGTTCTGACTCCAGGATGATGTCTGAACATTTCTCCAGAGTCGGACAGCTTTGGAGAAATGCTCAACTCTCTGAGGTTTGCCAGCAAGGTCAGTCAGAGGTTGGTCTGAATTATTTACCATGAAATAAAACATTTTTCTTCTAATCCAGACGTTATTTCACTAAAACATTGTTTAATCAGTTTGACACATGGCTGATATTGGGCCTTTTGTTATTCAGTGATTCATTCATGTTTATCTCCACCCTGATGAGTTTCTGTTTAAATAGAGCTTCATGTTCAGTTCTGCCATAAAAGCTTTTTTTAATTTTTGTTTTGCTGTTTTTCCAGGAGAACGATTGCGTCATCGGGACAGCGAGTTCCAACAAAAAATAGATCGACGTTTTTACATGAACAGTCACATTTTCTACTTTATTACTTCAATCAATCTTTATCAATAATAAAGTGACTTTAATGGATTTCAAAACAAGAGCAAATTGAGGATTTGTCGAATTTAGAAATATTTCACAACATAAAATGAACTCAATGGTACAGATAAATAGTTGCAATATTTGATTTAGAGGTGCAAAATGGAAAAGGGTGGATAAATTTTTTATTTTTTTTTTTGTTAAATTCTGTAGCTGAAGTCCATACTTCTTTACCCAGCTGTAATTTTACTCTGGACATTTGTTAGTGGAGGGGAAAAACTGACTAGTTCTTTTAAAAATATATGAAAATAAAATTCTTGGTGATGGTTTTATATATTAAAAAAATGTCCAATTCTATTAGTTTCCTTGCACTTATGAGACATAGTTCACCCCCCACACACACACACCACACACACACCTAAACATGCACACAAACCCACTCTTTCACTATTCTCTTTACTTCACTAGGAAGCTGCCAGAAAGCAGGTGTTCATGCAACTTTTGACAGGAACCTTTTCTGTTCCTGTGGACAAACTCCACCCACACTGAGTGGACACTCAGCAGAAGTGGGGGGGGGGCATAAATACTCTCTGCAAGGGAGTCCTAAACGCATTACACACTGAAGGTACATGTAATATCATCACTGTCGGAGATCAGGAAATGAGCAGCAGGGAAATAAAAAGATAACAACCATAGAAGCTCTGGAACTTCTTGATGATCATTCACATCACAAACATCAAGTCAGTCATTCATAAAGGTCACCGCTGGCATTCAGAGGTCGCTGCTCATTTACACTATATATGCCTACCTCACCAGCTAAATATGACATAAAAATCTGGGCAGCATGTGATGAAAAGCCCAGTTATGTTTTGGACATGCAGGTTTAAACTGGAAATCCTCCTGGAGGATCATCTTCAGGACTCATTTATCTTGATTTTAGTCAGCAGGTCAGTTTGACCCAGGGCAGAATAGTGTCTCAAGTTCAATTATAAAGATGATACCTTCAAAAAAAAAATCTAAATGTAATATAAAAAAATTTACAAAAAGTCACTTTCAAAGATACTTAGTGTTATTTTGTGTTTAGGTTTTTCAGTGGGCATAAAAAAATGTAAATCACATTTTTTATGTCCAAATGAGTAAATTGTCATTAATCCTTCATTTGTGAGGAATAAAACAGAATTGCACAAATATTGATTGAAATGGTTAGCATTGGAGTTGATAATCATACACAAAAAAGATTTGGAGGATTTTTTTGGTTTCTGACAATATTGCATGACTAAACACTCCCCGGGTCAAATTGACCCACGAACATTATTGGTATAGCTAAGAAACGAACATAACAGGAGGGTTAAATTAAATCTCCATATTCTTTCTGTGATTATCAGCGTCTTTATTAAAGCTTACTTGAAATATGTGATTTTCTGTCGGCCAAAGTCTGGCCCGCCTGTCTGGAATGGCCTTAAAGGCGCAGAGTCGCTGTCTGCAGCCGCAGGGATCCGACGGGCAGCGGGTTCGGTGAAAATGCGCCAGGAAGTTCTGGTTCTGGGTGACCTGGCAGCGGTTCCTGTCCTCTGCTCCGCCACACACCGGACCTCTGAGGGCTGCAGGGACTGAAACGGTGAGCCGAACCTGCTGCTTTTACCTCAGCCTGGTGAGCTAACTGCGGCTAGCAGGCTAACCTCACAGCTGTAGTGATGGAGTCTGACGCTGTTCCAGATGTTTCACAGATGTCTCTCCCTGTCAGACTGGAGCTGACAGTCTCACTCAGGACTTGGTAACAGCTCAGTCTGGGATGTGCAGCTCTCCAAGTGCCACTTGACTGGTTGTAGGCTGGTTTTCTCATGCACTCTGCAGTAAAGTGTTATTATCAGTGGAGAACCTGCAGAGATGTGCAGCTGTCTGTAAAATCAACCTGTTAAACTAGAACAACACTGTGCTGTCAGTAAGTATGATCTGCTGCTTTGTGTCTGATGGGTGACGCATGACATGCAATAGAAATGAACATATTTGACTGCAGGATGTGGAAACTCCTGCTTTTAAAGGAATGAGTATGTGCTGATGAGTGATCATCTGCAGAATATTTTAGTTAAATGTTGATCATAATCTCAGTTTGATTCTGTATATTTTGGTTAATTTATATAATGCATGCACTGGTTTGCATGCATTCTCTTCATTCAAACCAGAAGAGCTGAACTCTTCAATAGAAACAATACTTTAGCTTCAAAGCAGCAATTATTTGTTTTGAAGCTTAATTTTCCAGTTGAAGAGACTGGCAGCTGAATAAGGATGGGAATGTAACTGAACAAAATTCTGGATAAAGATTGCATGCTCTCCTTGTGCGTGCATGGGTTCTTTCCAGGTACTCTAACTTCCTCTGAGGTCTGAAAACATGCCTGTTTGGTTAATTTGTTTCTTAAAATTGGTCTTAGAGATGAGTGTGTGTCTCTGTGATGGAGTGGTGACCATTGCAAAGTGTAGCCGGCGTTTCATACGATGACAAAGCACAAGATCCCTTGTGATGAGATTGAGCTGCAAACAGTAAGCAGTGGGTCCATTCTCACACCTAAGTTCATAATAATAGTTTTCTCATGTGAGTTCTGGTTAGAAAGGTTGATACTTGTGTTGTTGTGCCTAAACAACATAACTTCAGCCTTATTAATCATCAAAATTAAGATGGTTCACCGCCATGACAACCAGGCAATCAAGCAAAGACTGAACAGAGCAGAAATGTGCTGTAGGGGAAAATTACCTGAGCAGTAATCATAAAAATGAGACAAAATATTATCAATTTAGGGGAAAAAGCATGAAGTGTCACAAGGTATAAAGAAAAACAAAGAGGTATCAGAATTAAGCCTTGTGGTACGCCCCATGAGAGGTCCGGAGAAGTGAAAATAAAATCATTAATACCGACATAAAAACTTCAACAAAAACTTTGAAACTTGATTGTGTTAAAAGCTGCAGGATCCTGACCGTCTTCCTCCTGCAGATGCAGTCGGTTCCCATGGAGGTGGGGAGCAGCAGCAGCTCAGGCGGGTCGGCGGTGGAGGTCAGCTTCCCCGGCGCTCAGACCTCGGTGCTGGACAGCCTCAACCGGCAGAGAGAGGACGGCAGCCTCTGCGATCTGTCCATCCACGTTCAGGGACACGTCTTCAAGGCGCACCGCTGCGTCCTGGCCGCGTCCTCGCCCTACTTCCATGATCAGGTGGGCGAGTTTGACCCAAATGGTTCTGAGATGTTCTGCATGTTATAGCATTCCTCATAATTACAAGTTCTTTAAGACACTAGTCACATTAAGAAGTGTGATGTTTCCCTAAAATGCACAAAATAACTTCATTTAATCAAATTTTCATATTTATTGAAATACATTTATTGAACAAACTGTGGAGAAAAATAATAAACTTACAATCCAGACAATCCGGGATTTTAATTGTAATTTATTCAGAGAAAGATAAATCAGAATCTTATATAAAATTTATTATGATAAATGTTCATCCCTAACTGCCACTGCAATGTTTTATCATAGTGATGGCATATAAAGCTTTGGTGCAAAGAATATTTAGCTAAATTTCCAACCTTTCAAATGGGAAATCCCTATTTGCTATTTTTTAGAAAGTTTTCATCTACAATCGTTGTCCTAAAAATGCTTTACAAATTTGGTGCCCTCTAGTGATGATAAAAACACAGAACCTTCCACATCAGGCGTCAGGTAAAGTGGTTTTGGGAGGGATTTTAGACATAAGTTGGAATTTATCGTGAATCAGTGATAAATCAAAATAAAAATCTTATTATAATAAATACCCACTCCTACCTTGAAGCAGCCTAACCCTGACCTCCTCACGACCTCCTGACCTTTTCCAGGTGCTGCTGAAGAACATGTCGACGGTCTCCATCCCCGCGGTGATGGACCCGCTGGCGTTCGAGAGCGTCCTGAGCTGCGCCTACACCGGCCAGCTGCGGATGCTGCGTGACGACATCGTTAACTACCTCACGGTGGGCAGCGTGCTGCAGATGTGGCACATCGTGGACAAATGCACCGAGCTGCTGAAGGAGGGCCGCGCCGCAGCGGCCGGAGGAGGAGGAGCGCAGGACGCAGCAGGCGGAGGTGGCAGCTCGGCCAATCCCGGCTGCAGCAGCAGTGAAGCTGGTGGAACTGGGAGCACAGGTGGCGACCCGATTGCAGAGCCCAACGACCCCCAGAGGGGCCCCCAACCATCCAGCCGGCCCTCGGTGAGCGAGAGCCAGTCGCCCAGCAGCACCAACTACTTCAGCCCCCGAGACGGGAGCAGCTTCCTGGGGGGAGGAGCAGCGGCTGGGGGGGCCTCTGTGGATGGAGGCAGGGCCAGTAACACACCCAGCTACTGCACCCCATCAGGGGGAGAGGAGGCCCTGCTCATAGAGGAGGAGGAGGAGGAGGAAGAGGAGGAGGAGGTGATGTACCACCACAGGAAGAGAGGAAGAGGAGGAGGCAGCGGGAGGAGGAAGAAGGTCAGCTCAGTGTTGGAGCAGGAGGTCGGAGTCAGCGACAGCTTCGGCGTTTCCTCCTATCAGGTCAGATTTGAGTGAGACGCAGGAATTATGATTAATGAAATAATCGTTAACTAGCCAGTGCAGTAATTAAGAAATATACAAAAACACTAAAAGAATGCTGTTGTTGCATTTTAGGCAATAACATTTTCACTTTTCTTATTTAGAAGGGGAATTATGTGTTTATTGGCTTCTTTTAATGTATTTTTAATGTGTAAAAGGCTTAACTGCAGAATGTGGCAGTTTATTTTGTCCACTGATCATCAGAATGATTGGTAAAATAATCTTTGCTTTAATAATAACTAACAGGCCGTATTTTACGTCCCTCTGCAGGACGGGGAGGACTCTGAGGCGGCGCTGCAGAAGCGTCCCGCCTACAGCCAGCCCAGCATCATGCCGCGTAAGCAGTGGGTGGTGGTGAAGACGGAGCGGACGGAGGACGACGACCTGATCGTCGTGTCCGGAGAGGAGGGCGGTGAGGATGAGGAGGACGAAGACGAGAGGGACATGGAGCTGGTTAGAGAGCGGGAGAGAGCGAACTTCAACATCTCCAACATCAGGAGCCTTTCAGCGGAGCTGGCGGTCCGAGCGGAGAGCGACATGGACTCACAGGTCAGCCGGTACCAGAGTCCGGTTCCTCCTGTAATCTGAAACTGTTCACACTGATTCACATTCAGGCAAATTACAAACAGGATTAAGATTTTATTGGACAGATCAACATAAAAGGGTTATATTAAAAAAAAAGTAATAATAGATCAATAATTGTAGATTTTAATTTTGTGTTTACAAAAAACTATCTGAAAAGTGTGGCATTCTTTTTTTATTCAGCCTCATTTATTATGATACCCCTAAGTAAACAGAGGCCATGTTTATTTCTACACCATATGTTTTATTTTAGTTTGTGTAAGATAATCAAAAGCTGGGAATTTAAATATTCTGTGGATTTACAAAACTTAAAGCTTTAATATGTAACTTTCATTTTAAAAAAGATTTTTACATATTTGTTAAAACACTCCATGTTGTTACAGTTTGTTATGAGACAGATAATCTGTGAAAGATCGATTTCTTCTTGAGCCTGAAGCAAGGCACCAATCCCATTCAAAAATAACCAATCAGAGCCAGGAGGCGGGTTTTAGCGCCATCAATCAACCTCGTGTACTCACTGCTCAACATGTTAATGGCAGAGAAACAATTTACCGTTACAAGAAAATTCCTCATCATTGGTGGCCATGCTAATTAGCCTGAGCATTCACAATAGGCTATGCTAGCAGTGACAAAGGGAGGGTGATTGACAGCGATAAGACCCGCCTCCTCGCTCTGATTGGTTGATTCTAGTCGGTGCTGGAAGAGTTAATCTTTTGTCACAGATTATCTGTCTCATGAAACACCGTCACAGCATGGTGACAGTTTCAACAAGTAAGTAAAAAAAATATTTTTTATAGAAGTTACAGACTGCAGCTTTAACATGCCACCACTATGGTGAAGCATGTTAGTGGCAGCATCATGCTGTGGCATGCTTTTCTAGAATCAGTTTTGTAATTTAATGTATAACAGATCTGACCTCTGACCTTTTCCTGCAGGTGGATTACTGCCAGTCATCAGAGGACTACCTCAAGTTTGAGGGCAGCCTGATCGAGCAGACGTTAGCCCAGCACCTCCATGACAGCGCTGCGGGTCAGAACCAGAGCGCCAACCGGGCCGTGTCGGCCCTGCTGGGTCAGGTCCAGTCCGCGGCCTCGGCCCGGGCGCAGCTCTTCCCTCTGGACATGCAGGGGAACCAGATCCTGCTGTACAGCCAGGCGTCCGGCCTCGCTCTGGACCCGGCCGCGCCGCCACTGGGCGTGGCCTCTGGCATGATGGGCGGAGCCTCTTTCAAAACGCCCGGCCTGGAGCACGGCGCCGTCCAGCTGCAGACCGGATTGGGTCTGGACGGTTCTGATGGTAGCGGGGTCGGAGGTGGAGCCGGCAGCGGCTCCGGTGGAACCACCAAGGTGTTCATGTGTCACTGTGGGAAGACCTTCACCCACAAGAGCATGCGGGACCGGCACATCAACATGCACCTGGACCTGCGGCCATTCCACTGCCCCGTCTGCGCCAAGAAGTTCAAGATGAAGCACCACCTGACGGAGCACATGAAGACCCACACCGGCCTCAAGCCCTACGACTGCCTGGGCTGCGGCAAAAAATTCATGTGGCGCGACAGCTTCATGAGGCACCGCTCGCACTGCGAGAGGCGCGGCGCCGACGGCGACACAGCAGGGGGCGGGGACGGAGGGAGGCGAGGAGGAGAGGAAGGCCCGGACTTCAACGCCTCCACCCACCTGCTGCTGTCTGCCGCTGACGGAGGTCAGGCAGGAGCAGCCAGAGGAGGAGGAGAGTCTGCAGCTGCTGCTGGACAACATGGCGGCTCCTCCGGAGGAAGCAGTCACCATGGCAACACCATGGCCACTGCTGCAGGGGCGATACTGGGGGTCGTCTCCCAGAGTCTGGGTCCGGATCACGGATCGGGAATGTTCGGAGGTTTGGGATTGGCTCGAGGTGTGTGTGAGGAAGACGTGTGTGAGGTCAGCGCAGACGGAAGCAGCGTGACTTAAACCGAAGCTGAGGGAGCCAATGGGAGCCCGGTTCTGGTGGTTCTGAAGGTTCTGGTGGTTCTGATGGTTCTGGTGGTTCTGATGGTTCCTGCTGCTGTTTTAACCTGGAAAAAGAGAAGAAGAAAGGAAGAGAAAATGCATTTTGTTGAAACTCCTGTTGGAGAAACAATCTGAAGGACCTGGAGTTTCGGATCGGCGGCCATCATGGTTGTTCAGTTCCAGTTACTTTTGAGTTAAATGACCCAGTTCTTTTGCACAAACAGATTTGAAAAGTGGCCTCATCAAGACAGACCGTCACCTCAGAATAAGCTGTTAGTTTCAAATATTCTAAGATGTTCTGAAAGTTTATTTTTCTTCTCCCTGTTGTTGAGGGGAAACCAGAACGCTGCTGGTTTCTGTGGGAAAACTTTCTGGATTGCTGTGATTCCTCTGCAGCTTCTATCGTGACCTGTTGCTGTGCTCAGATAAAAACCTACAAGACTCATTAGGAATAGAAACATTTATATTACATTCATGTTTTTATTATAAATCACAAAGCAGCAGGACTTTTTCTCTGCAGCTTCACTGCTCTCAGATTAGACTGATACTCATAATTCATCCAGATTCTTCTCAGTCATGCCTTTTAATAGATTATTCTAACATATTTTCCACAAAGGTTTGTGATTTTGTAAAGCTTAAATTTTGATGATAGAATTGAAAAAAAAAAATCAAAACTATCTAACTTTACATGAATATGAATTGCTGCAGTTCCTAACTTTAACCTGTAGTGGGCGACAAAGCAACAGTTTTAACTTTCTTACTTTGTTCTTTCAGGTTTTGCACCTTTAAAAAATAATATTAATATTATTCCTATACATATTTATGTATATGTACTATAAGCAGTTCATAGTTCAGTTTAATTCTGGTGTTGCCTGTTTTTAACAAATGAACTGATTCCTTAATGTCAGCTGGATGTTCAGGAATGTTCAGTAAAGGAAAAATGAACTGTTCATTTAGAAGCATAATTTATTATTATTATTATTATTATTATTATTATTATTATTATTATTATTNCTCTTAGCAACAGATTAACAACAAATGTTATTGTTCAAAAAACATGAGATGTGATGCTCTTATTTTGACAGCCCAAAGTTGTTGTCTGTTTAGGAGCACCAAGTTTCATGAGTCATAAGGAACTTACTGTTTTTGCTCTTGTGCCATTTTATCTATATTAGGTTTTCTGTCAAGGTGGCCTCACTGTAGTTCTGACTGGAAGCTCTGTCCTCCTCTGTAGGAACTGAGTTTTCCTCCATCTCTGTAGTTCTCTACATCTCTGCTCTCCTCAGTGTTTGCTATGGTAATTAATCCTCTCTGAAAACTCATGAGACAAAATTTTCTCTGTTTTGAGTCGGACACAAAACGGCGTCAGAAATTGTTTTGATTTTAATTTGGTTCGTTTTTCACCATTTACTTCGCCATGGTTATTTGAAATCCCAACAAAAGTAATGGCACCTCTCACAGGATCGAGCCGTACATTTTTAAATCTACGTTGAGGGGACGGGCAGCGGTACGAGGCGCATTAACGGTGAAAAGCAGAGGCAGTTATTTTGAGGTGTAGAATCATGGATGCCTTCCATGCATTGCATGGTGGCATTTAAATGCTTTGCATCAGAATAACTTCTCTAGAAACCACAACTAAAGTTTTCTTCTTGCTCAGTATGTAGTACACCTGAGAAAATGTTGAAATGTAATGATTTGTTTTATTCAGCATATTATGAAAAAAGTAACTGTGTTATAGAAAGACTGCCAACCCTCTTGATACAAAGGAACCATCAAGTTTTTGAGAAAGTTGCCTCTTATGAGTCATCAATTAGCTCAATAACCTTAAGATTAACTCAATAATCAATAACTTGTATCCCTATCAGAAATCTGAAGTCACTTTCTTTTTGTTTCTGAACTCTATAATTCACTGAGACTGTTCTCAAACTCTAAATAAGTGACTGAAACCGGTTTGTGTTTTCATGTCTATTGAAAGCTTCCTGCCCTTTAACCTTTAATCTGTTTCGTTCTCAGTTCACCTTCACTGCGAGTTTTGTTGAAATCTACAACGAGACCCTGCGGGACCTGTTATACTCCGGCAAGGCCAGCAAGAGGCCCGAACACGAGATCCGAAAGACGGCCAGCAACGACGTGACGGTCACCAACCTGACCTACCAGAAGGTCTCCACCGAGGACGAGGCACGGCTCCGTCTGAGGATCCTGGTTCTACAACAGAGACCAAAATGTAAAGACTTACAGGAAATCTTCTGCTTTTTCCTTCAGGTTCTTGGTTTGATCGCTTTGGCCAAAGAGAACCGCTCCACGGCCCAGACGGCCCTGAACGATCGCTCCTCCCGCTCACACTCGGTGTTCCAGCTGCAGATCGAGGGAGTGAACGCCGGCAGGGACATCAAATGCAAGTGTGAGTGTTTTTATCTCCAAATGGTGGAGTTGGGATCACCCTTTATACTTAAAATATTACTTTTGATTGGTGGGAACAAAATGCTCTTTTTGCTTATTTCAAGCAGAACTGTAGATTTTCAGAGATTCACCAAGAAACTGCTGGAGTTTCAGTTTGATTAGACTGTCATTGAATGCATCATATGGTAACATCACAAATGTTACCAGGATGTAGCAACACTCTTTAGTGGGGAAGCTGCTTTTCAGAGAATAGGTTGTTCAGCATTGAGGATCTAAAATTAGATCAGAGATGTAAGGAGAATATTTTCTACCACATCTCAGGACATTTTCTTCCATTCATTAAGCCTGAAAAGAGCCAGAAGTTTTGTAGATGAAGGAACAATAAGGATATGAACAGTTCCTCTGTTTTATCATTTTAAGCCTTCAGTCTTTTTTCATCAGATATTTTTCATCTGGAATCCTTTTGGAGATGTTGGAGTTTAGACATTTTAAATGATTTTTGTCTTCTACTTGGACCAGAAAATCTATCTATACTCAAATCTATGGGAAGATTAATTTAGTAATGCTAGCCGCCTTGCCAATGGCAAATATTACTACTAAATAAAAGCTGATGAAATTTAACTTTCGAGCTTCTGTCCTTTGTGATTTCTACTCCTGATATAAACACTATAAAAGGAAAAATATAAAAAAGTTGTACTGTAATGTTTACATAAGTTTCTGTGTTAATCCTAAAGAGAAACGTTGATATTGACAAGTTAAAACTTTACAAAAACAGATCATAAATCAGCTCCAGAGTTTAGTTGCTGTTTTGGTGTTTTGACCGAATAGTTTCCTGACCGATCCTCCTGCTTGTTTCCATGGTTACAGCCACTCTTTGCCTGGTGGACCTGGCCGGCAGCGAGCGAATGGTGAAGAGTCAGTCTCAGGGAGAGCGCTTCAAGGAGATGACGTCCATCAACAGCTCCCTGTCCAACCTGGGCATCGTCATCACTTCTCTGGCCAACAAGGTGTGTGAGACCCAAAGTCATTTATTCACAACATGAGCCAGTTTTCATTCTGCTCCTAAAACAAAACATAACCGTTTCAGGAGAGCCACGTCCCATACAGGAACTCCAAGCTGACCTACCTGCTGCAGAACTGCCTCGGAGGAAACAGCAAAACGTGAGTTCTTCTTCATCTACCCTGCAAAAGTCACTCATCTGCTTAAACTATTTATTTAAAAGATATTAATCAGATTGACTGTAGAACCATCGGTCGTGTTTCAGGTTTCTGATCATTTTTATTGTTTGGACTCCAGGTTGATGTTCGTGAACATTTCTCCAGAGTTGAACAGCTTTGGAGAAACACTCAACTCTCTGAGGTTTGCCAGCAAGGTCAGTCAGTTTGGTCTAAATTATTTACCATGAAATAAAACATTTTTCTTCTAATCCAGACGTTATTTCACTAAAACATTGTTTAATCAGTTTGACACATGGCTGATATTGGGCCTTTTGTTATTCAGTGATTCATTCATGTTTATCTCCATCCTGATGAGTTTCCGTTTAAATAGAGCTTCATGTTCAGTTCTGCCATAAAAGCTTTTTTTAATTTTTGTTTTGCTGTTTTTCCAGGTGAACGATTGCGTCATCGGGACAGCGAGTTCCAACAAGAAATAGATCGACGTTTTTACATGGTCACATTTTATTCTACTTTAGTAGAAAATCTGTAAGATGTTTGTACTTGGTTTGTCATCAACTCTGTTTGGATTTTGCTCAGTTTGCTTTGAACTGGAGCCATTTTTTGACAAAGAATTTTTAAATAATATACAATGCAACAATAAAGTTTTTTTTTCTTTCAAGAATAAACTGACTTTAATGGATTCCAAAACAAATAAATTGAGGATTTGTCAGATTTAAAAATATTTCGCAACATAAAATAAACTCAATGGTACAGATAAATAGCTGTAATATTTGATTAACAGGTGCAAAATAGAAAAGGGTGGGTGAATAAACAGCGCGGCTAAGATGCCTCTTGTGATGTCATCACAGCAGGATTAGGTGGTATATTTCTTCTTTAGTGCGCGTTTTAAAACTTTTTTTGTTAAATTCAGCAGAGGAAATCCATACTTCTTTACCCAGCTGTAATTTTACTCTGGACATTTGTTAGTGGATTGGGGAAAAAATGACTAATTCCTTTAAAAATATCTGAATATAAAATTCTTTGGCAGTTTTAAGTTTTTATATACATTTACATATTAAATTAAATCTCCTTATTCTGTGATTATCAGCGTCTTTATTAAAGCTTACTTGAAATATGTGATTTTCTGTCGGCCAAATCTGGCCCGCCTGTCTGGAATGGCCTTAAAGACGCAGAGTCGCTGTCTGCAGCCGCAGTTTAATTCTGGTGTTGCCTGTTTTTAACAAATGAACTGATTCCTTAATGTCAGCTGGATGTTCAGGAATCTTCAGTAAAGGAAAAATGAACTGTTCATTTAGAAGCATAATTAATTTATTATTATTTACAACATGTTTCATAGTTTTTCTTAAATGTTCTAGTCCAGAGGTTTTTGACCTTCCAGTTGATTTTCAGGTCCTGTTTTAGTTCTGATTTGTTTACATCACCTTCCCTGTATGTGAGCATATTAGTTCTTTTAAAACATAGTATATATTCATTAGAAGTATATGGAAAACAGAAGAATAGCTTTTTGGCTTTTTACATACATAAATCTGCTTGTTTAAAAATAAATTTAATAAACTAGAGTGATTACAATTACAAAACAGCCTACAGTATTTATATTTGTTTCAATATTTGGCCTAATTAGAGAAACTAAGTAGATTATTGTACCTTGTTTCAAATACATAATATACATATTTATAATATAAACTAGATTTATAAATTATTTTGTGTTTTATTGTTTCAGACATAATGACTGAATATCTGTTTATCTAAGTGCATTTTGATGGGAAAAGCTGTGATTTGGTTCCTTTTGAGTTCAAGTACTGATTCTGGTATGAAGAAATGTAATATATTTGAAGCCTAAAAGGTCACTTAAGTATTAAACTTAAAATTTAAAGGGTTTAATTAAAGAAAAAAAAATGCCATCACCCATGAACCATAGTCTCCTGGCACTATGGCGCTGCACAGTGTTGTCTCCTGTCGTCCGATGTGTGATGTTGAAACTCCTCTCCTGAAACAAGTTGTTGCAGTCTGGGTTGTCCTTCCAGACTCTGCAGCCTGGAGTCGCCCTCTGACCCCTGCAGGCAATGCAGCTGATGCAATCCGGTGTAATTTCGCAGTAGGTGTAAACTTTGTTGGTGCTGTAGTCATGTGGGCGGAAAGTGAGGTCACTTCCTCCTCCAAACATCAGACATGCTGCAGTCACAGCGCAGTAGAAGATCCATCTGGCATATGGAGTCCCCATTGCTGCTCGGTGCGCAGAGATGTCAGAACCCCCAAACTAAAGAGTGAGAATCTTAAGCGTTTCTTCACCGGGTTTGAGACGAACCACCCTAAAAAATGGAACCCCTTTGCAGCCCGGAACTTCCTTTCTACTCCGGATTAGGGGTCCAACTCTCTGCAGCTCGCAGTGACTGAGATGTATCCAGCTGGATCTTTCAGCAATTTTTACAGCTGTTGGTGTGGTCATCAGCACTTGGAACGGTCCTTCCCACCGTGGACTCACCCAGTTCTTTCGTTTGACCTTTATGTAGACCCAGTCACCTGGCTCGATGGGAGCTGCCTCCTGCAGAGGGAGAGAATCAGAAGGCAGTAAATTTGCTCTGGATACTTCCTTCAGTTTAAGAGTCCTGATCATATAATCTGCTAATGTCTGTTCTTCATCAGCTTTCTGTAAGTCTGGAGCAAACAGAGGCAATCTGTAAGCTCTCCCATGAATTATTTCAAAAGGTGTTAGACCATTTGCTGTGGTGGTGATTCTCATATAGAGTTTCACCAAATCTAAACATTCTGGCCAGGATCAGCCAGTGTCTGCCATGCATTTTCTAAATCTGCTTTTCACAGTACCATTTGTTCTTTCCACCAGCCCTGCACTCTGAGGGCGATAGGCACAGTGGTTTTTCAATGTCATTCCCAAGTGAGTAGCCATGTTTTGTGTCACTTGGTTTACAAAATGTGGTCCATTGTCACTATAAACAGTCTGGAAAACCATGTGTTGGGATAATAGTTTTACAAATAGCCTTAGCTACCGTCAAAGCATCTGCATGCTTTGCTGGAACTATTTCAACCCATTTAGAAAAAGCATCAATCATCCAACAGTATTTAACTCAAAAGTTCATAAAACATTGTTTATGTAAGAATTTAGTAGTTATATAGTATTACCTCACCATTTTCCCCTCTCCACACATGGCATTGCCCATGTGTCACAATCACTTAAGCTTCAAATAAAATCTTTGGGAGGGTTAATCTTTAATTCAGGTGAACTCACAGGTTTATTGCTTTTAGAAGATCTTTTAGCAAAGACGTCTTTTAATTGCAGGTTTATTTTTTGGTTTTTCTTTGTTAAACTCAGCAGCTTTCAACATTTCTATTCAATTTCTCTAAAATAAAAATGACCATCTTAAATTTAAACCAAATCCTCTAATTCAAGATTTTTCTTTTTGAATTTATTGACATCAAATCTAAATTAAAATGTTTTAGACCAGGGGTCCCCAAACTACGGCCCGCGGGCCG